GGGGGGGGGGAGGGAGGGGGAGGCTCTCCGTCGAACAGGTCGCTAAGCCCCTTAGCATGTTGCTCCGCCCCGCTCCGGACGATGTGTTCCACAGTCTAGCCCACCAGACGGCGTCAGACACGGTTGTCGAGTCCTGGACCAGTCAGGACTGCACTGCGATAAATAAAGTGTGCAACTGTCGTTCATTTGGTAGCATTCTACTCTATGGTGCACACTAGTACGTGTTGGACGGGAATTTTGAATACTTAAAAGTGTTCAACAGTATATTTGAAAGCTTAATGGCAAACCTTAGTGCGCAACAACACTTTTAAGTGTTCAACATGACAGGTAAACACTCTTTAGTGTTCAAATATCCGGTCAAACACTTAAAAGTGTGCAACGTAGTGTTTATCACTTGCTTGTGCAGGCCAGTTGCACATTTGATTTACCAGTGTAGATGGGGTAGGGGTGGGGGTGGTGGTAGGGTGGATTTCGAACCCTCATACCTACCCACCTGCTTCATTGGACTAGACTCTAGACTGCATGACAAACGGGGGGTTGGGGGGGGGGGGGCACAATGTTCTTTGAAAATACTCTCCTCTTGGCCCCTTCTCTCCCTTCTTCCTTCCTTTCTTCCTTGCTTCCCGTCTTCCTCCCTCCCCTCCCTCCCTCTCTCATTCTCTCTGCGTCGAAAACGTTTAAACAATTATGCTTTACATTCAAATCAGTTTAATTAAAATTTAATACTGACAGATTGAACGAGCGTCCCACCAAAGCGGACGGCGACCGACTTGACTAGAATCCGAGTAGTTTAGGCGCTAGTTTCGCCATTATCGGTGAGGGAGAGGGCGGTGCGACGGTGACCAGCAAACTGCCCGGGGGTACGATCCAAAAGGCCAACAAGGGGGGCGGTGGGCGCGGGAAAGGATTGAAATATCTCTTGCTCGTTGTGTCGGCACGCTCCTCAGGAGGCTCCGGAGCGGCTGGCAGTCCTTTGAGAGCACGGCTTGGGTGCGATGTAGATGCAGATGCCCAGGCTGGCTAGGTAAACCGCCTCCCGTCAAAGGGAGTTGGAGAGAGGGAGAGAGGGAGGGAGAGAGGGAGGGAGGGAGGGAGGAAGGGAGGGAGAGAGAGAGAGAGAGAGAGAG